AAGGAATTACGAATCCTTGAATTTCCGATTTGTCATTGATGCTTAGCACTAGTATGGTTCAGTGATCTCGACAACGATTCTACCAACTATAATTTCCATAAATTTTAATGTATCATCTTGATTATCCTTTATTCCCAAATATTCTACTACTTCTCTAACCAATTTTAAAAGATTTTTCAGGCCAAGATAAGATGCCAATAAAAATAGACAAGCAGGGTCTAAAATAAAAAACAATTTATTAACGTCAATCGCTATAATTACAATATTATATATCGCGTGTGAAAAGCAATATTTCACTTTATACATTGTGTTTCTTCTTTTCCCTTTCCTTATTTTCGATCACTCGATGATAATTGTTCGATCGAATCGCAAGCTTGCTAGAAAATGTCCGAACGCCCTCGTCGTCTCGCCTTCGTCTTTCTTTTTCGCAAATATACAATTAGCATAGTCGCGTCGCCGTTGGTTTACGTCCAATTGTAATTTATTATTGGTGGTAACTGTAAATTTTCATGGCAGTAGGTAGCGCAAAAGACATCGTGACCAAAGATGAGCAAAATTTTCATTCGAAAACGGATGACAAATAAAAAACTTTATACGATTATTCATTTTCAAGTTCAAAGTGAAATGTAATGTAATTTTAAAGTGTCGTAGATCTGCCAGATCTTCGCAACTTAAATATCGTTAAATTCAATTTAATTTACAATTTTGTAAAATCGATTCTTTTTATTCGTTATTCAAAATTTGTATCAAGACGAGAATTTCAGAAACGATGGCATCACTGGCAGTGCTAGCGATAACGATGTTCAAGGTAATGGGACAATAATTGCGCTTTGACTCTAATGTTTATAATGGGCATTTTAGGTTCGACTTCGATTAACCATCTATGGTAATCCCTTCGCAGCTCGCCGTATATTTAATATAACATTATTTGAAATATTTTTCGCTTCACTTTTTAGTGTTCAATTTCTACTAATTCGAAAAATTAAACGACGAATGACGTATATTGCTCTATATAATAATGCTTATACTATTTGCTTTATTTACTTGGCTTTACAACTCGCAAGCATCGATCACAATCTTATTTTACAAAAAATCAAAAGTTCGGTTAGATTGTAGTTCTAAGACAGCGGCTCCCAATATTAAATTGAGATAGAATATATCAGACGCGACAGTGTGAACTGTTTCAGTAATACTTTTGCAGAAAAATTGCAGAAGAGAATTCTTTCGAAATTTAATTTAAATTATTTCATCGCGATTGTGTTATCATTGTACTGAAAGATCGCGAATTGAACGCGATTGCAAGCGGCGTCCCAACTTTAAGGAATAATCTTTCAAAGCAACACGATGGACACGAAAGAGACAATATGTTCTCGAACTTCAGATACAATCGCGTGTACGTGTTAACCCATTCGACTAGGCTATTTTCTATTACAATTTTATTCGTTTCTTTTTTACAAATTAATTGCATTAATCTAGATTTGGCTATAAATAAACAATGTTCATTTCTTCAATGTCCTGTGAGTCTCAATTTTAATTTGGCCAACAGCAGTCGGATATATTAACTGAGACATATATCGAGACATATATATGTCCTACTAGGGTCGAAAGGATTAACAAACAACCGCGAGAGAAAAGAAGAGCGCATACTTTCGACGAAGATAAGCGACGGACCATCAGACGTTGCTTATTGTTAGACTTAGACGAATCGATTCGATTGTTTCAGGGAAGAAAGCTGTCGCTGACTTTCTTCGAACGATGAGTTATCGACTAATCGGCAGATGATACGACGATGAAGGGATACGAGCGACGTTCGATGATGAACGCGCGCGTTTAGTCGACTAACAGGCGTTTCGACCCATCGCGTTCGAATTTATTACCTCGACGTCAGAGGCGGGCAAAATTTGCATCGATGTAAGAACTTCGAATAGGCGATACAAGGTAGCATTCGATCCATTATTTCTGTTTACCCCATTCCAAATTTCACAAAGATTTAGAGAAACTTATCGCCAGCCATTTATGTTGAATTTTATCCATATAAAGAGACAAGCATGTATCCAAATTTATTTTTCTCCAAGCCTCGTAATTAATTTCAGTCGTCATCACTTATTATAAACATTCCTTCAGTAATGGGACTCGGATAAGAAATCTCCGTAAACCGTAATCGAATAAACATTGCAAATAAATCTACCCATGGTGCTTTCGTTAGGCATCTATATCTCTATTACTCGAGTAAAATTTTGCCCATCTCTGTTCGACGTGGAGCAACATGAATTCTAAATTCGCGAAATCGCATTCGAGCGCAAAGGGTTGCTTCTATAATGATAATAATGATAAGGACGAGGATGGCAGCAACCGGTAGCTAATTAAACGATCGAACGTAGAAATGTCTTTTCTTACTCTCGGTAACCAGTTGAAGCAGTGCTGGGCATTATTTGAAGTATTCTTTTTATTGCAAATATTTGAAATAATTACACGCGCACATTCTTGCGAAGCGGTTAGCTGAAACGATGATTGAAACGACTTTTGTTCAGTTTCATTCTCTCCTTTCTTTTTAAGTAAGCGAACGAACGTCGATTCTGTCGCGAAGAACGACACTTTACAATGAGAAGCAAACTCGACGCTTGAGCGAAACGGAACGCGGCATCGAACGAACGCTTATTTACCAGACACGTCAAATAGGAGCCATTCTTCATTTTTTTTTTTTTTTTTTTTATACGAAGTCCCATGCAATTTATGTTTAAAAGTATGTACATGTTTACGTGAACCAGCTCCCTATCTTCTCCTACTTAGAAGGGTGGAATAAACATTGTGTGGTTCTTGAACACTAAGGACCAAGTATTAAGTGTTTTTTCTTTACGGAGAAGAATTTATTTAATTTTTGTTTAACAGTGAGAATATTTTAGATGCATACCCACAATATTCTCAAAGTTAAACGAAAATTAATAAAATTCTTCTCTCCGAAAAGAAACTCGAAGAACACTTAATACATAGCCTCGTAATGTGATTTCAGCCCTTCACCTACTTCAGCGTACCTCCATCGTTCGGCCATAATGAATTTGACATGCCTGGCTGCTACTATACGAACTAATCGGGCAGCATTGCGTTACTATTTCAAATATTTCGTTCGATCGTTACTTCAAACAATTATTCGCCAAAGTCACGTTCAACGTTGCGCAGCTTCGCCACGATCACGTAATCGAAACGCCGTGATATAACTCGGCGAGATGCCAAGTTCCTTTGTTTAGTCGTCGTTCGACATCGACCAGCACTGCGATTCTAGTGTCTGGTAATATTTACAATGTACATCGACGACGATTACTGCATAATCTATCGGAGTTTCTCTCGGAATACGTTTACACAGATTCGGTAATAGCTAGTACGCGAGTACGCATACATCGTCACCATCGGTCGACCTTCTCGTTCGCACTCTCGATTAAATTTCCACCTAAATTTCCACGGGATTACAATGTTCTTCGCTATCCACGTTGCGTATCTCTAACGTGCACGTACTGTTTACGTCCAGGGCACCGAAAACTTGCTGCATCCAAGGCATCTCGTGGCTATTGTTTCATTCTATTTAATCCTCTTTTTAAATAAATAAGTCGCGATCGCTTCTTTTTTTTTTCTCTTTTTTTTTTACTCGGTAGCATTGGACGTCAGAACATCTGTACTCAACAAGATTACTAAGTTTATCAACTCTTCGTATCTCGCTTGGAGATGGACGAAATTTTCATCGAACAGATCGCGAATAAAATCGATATAAATCTGTTCGTGCGAACGGTGAAATGTTCATTTTGTCGTTGCAAAATATTTCGTTCCACGACACGAATTCTAATTTCTATTCAACGAAACACGGATAAACGAGATGTTTATCATTTTCTTCGGAATTCGTATCCGTTCGAGAATTTCGCCAACCTCCGATCTCACTTTCTCGCTCAATGTATACCTCATTTACGCTAGTCTCCACCCTCTCCCTCTTTTTCCCTTATTTTCGCTCGCTTAACAGGCGCGCCTAAATTCTGTTCCCTCTCCAGACCCCTTTCTTCTGGCCCCCTTCACTCTCGCACACATTCGCGCACACTTTCTTCCTCCTTGTCTCCTTGTTTCCTTTCTTCTTACCGGTGCAGAAAATAGTTTTGCTTTTATCGTTTAGTTGTCCTTTCGCTTAAAAGTTGCCGACATAAACGGTATTCCGTAAACCTAAGCGTTCTGTATCGTTAAGTTATAGTATCGAAACCTTTTTACTTTGTATGGCGGAAAAGATAGCCGCGCTTCGAGCACAGGACTATGGAGCACGAACGATACACTTCGCGTGGATCTCTCGCGGGAAATAGTTCCTCACTGTTACGTACCTTTCCTTTCTATTTACGCTGTATTTATAAAAATACTTTGCTTTCGCCGGTAAATCGATCGAGGCCGTTTAAATGAAAAACGATAAGCTTGTGTGCTCCATAATCGCACGCTGAAAGTACTCGCGGACTCGAGTCGTACGAAACTAATTTCTCGTTTTAAATATATATAGCAACGTCGTTACGTAGTTTCATTTCGTTAACGGAGACACGCCGGGATCGTACGAGGAAAGAGCGAAACTTTTTATACAAGTACTGTCAGCCGGAACGCGATACGTCTCGAGCGTGCGCGTACATAGGTACCTCTTGTATGTTACCTTATATGTTATCTAGCATTTTTTTTTTTTTTCTTTACGATTAGTACTATTACTACCACGGTGCCCTGGCTGTCGGTAAACTACAGAATGTAAACGTTATAATCGTCCACGGTGCTATATTCGAAATAAAACTATATCGCTCGACAGAATACGTAAGACAGACCATGCGGTGCCACTACTTTTTCCTCTTCATGCATAGGAAATTTTGCGCGATCCAATATTGCTGGGCGTATTCGTTCCAACGAACTTTCGAGCAACGGTACCGGACAACGACTCGTCCGCGCGGAATCGAGCAACGAATACGTTTAAAACCTAGGAGGATCAGAGGTGCGTGTCAGTTTCAAATTTATATATTTTCCATCGAAATTAATATAAAAGTTATATACCAAAGTTCGGTTCAATCGCCTCGACAATTTCGCCGTTATCGTTCATTTCTTCACTCTTCGTTATTACCTATGTTTTACCCAGCGATGCAAATATTACTGCTTTTCTTTCTCTTTCTCTTTATTTTTTATGTTGGCTTTGTAAGTTATGGATTTGGGCTGACGCGCGTGTCACGCGTTAGGAACCTTGATAAGGCAACGAAGGAGCCCTGAATCTTACGAGTGTATTCTTTTCCATTTTCACGCTCTTTAGGATGCTCTTAACGGTTTAAGATTTTCATAATACTCGGGCGCGAACAAAAACTTTACCGCAAATTTCTCCGTAAGAAAGAGACCCGGTACCTGTATATGATTCTCCTTCCCGCGTCTCAATCGTATTTTTTTTTCCGCCTCTCTTTCTTCCACCAATTTAATCAACTGGAATAGGTTTTATTTCACAATACATTACACGTTGATACAAAAGACCACAAAGCACAAAAGTTATGCGAGAAAGCTCGTGTCACAAAGCTTATATCGTAATTGGGTTACTCCGAATTATGGCGATTTGCAGCGAAACCATAATTATTGGTAAATTAGAAAAAAAAAAATTTTTTTTAAAACGTTCGTTTACACGCCGATATACATTTCCGAATATTTCGTGTACAAGACACGATCGGCAACGTAAAAAGTGAAAAATTCTAGAAGGTTAAATACACGATCGGAGAACAATTTGCCGATTATTCTTCGTGCAGTTCCGTGTGGGATAACAAATATCCGGGCAAAAGCTCTCAAAAATATATATAATAATATAAAATACGTTCGTTTACACCAACAAATTTCTAAATTTTTCTGGACAAACGTAGGGGGCGATCGAATAGAATACAACGTTCGTAAAGTTCAGTATTTGTTAACAGACAAAACAGCAATTTGTATACAAAACTTTCAAACAATTTCATATCACAGCACTAGCTATAAATACAACGTCGAAAAGAGAGCTGAATACGAGAGCTGAGCCAGTATTTCGTTAAGAATGACGAAAGAACACACACACCGAACGGACTTCTACGCAAAAATTGTATGCACTGCGAGAATCACGGGACCGAGGCTCCATCTTCGATTTACTTTTTTCTTTCCCATTAATATTTGTCACTACAGAGAGCTTATTATGCTACGCTTTCGAAGATCGGATGGAAAACAATATCGACTGCTGAAACGGAAATAAAAATGTTTCTCATAGCGGTGGACCGCTGCAAAGTCGCGGTACGCTAAATGTTTCGGTTTTATCCTTATCACATGTGCAACAATTTTCGGAATCGCTCGCTTCCGGAATCTTGATATCACTTCGTTTTATCGTTCTTTGCAAACAACGACACGACTATTTTGCACGTTTGATCGTCATCGTCTTTGTCATGTTCGTCGTCTTCATCTTCTTCTGTCTCTTTAATAACATATACGTACGCACGCGGTGCTCATCGAATCACGTATGTACACATGTAAACGATGATTCGCCCCTGATGATTGACTGGACCGTGTTCGAAAAATGGAACGGATCAGCCATCCATCCGTGATGCCGCCGATGATAACGGAGGGTGCGGGTGATGTACCAAGGCCGGAATTCCAGTTGCGTCGTCAGACTGTTGACTGCCGGTTGGAACCGAGCATGAAGTTGGGTGTTGCTATTTCTTGGTCGGCGTGCCTCGCTGCGTCAAACCCTCGAATCGCTTGAACGTGTAATTAATGAATACCCAGTCCTTGTATATTACCTCACCGTCCTGAGGCATCGGCGCTGATGCTGTAACGTACAAGAAAATTCCATTACGATTCGCGATCGCTTCGTTGTTTCTTTTCTTGTTACGAAACAAGACACGATGCACTTACGTATCTCCAATTTCACGTCAGGAAATTCGTCGAAGTTGGATGTGTCGTCGATGGAACGCACCTCGACTGGAATCGCGGCTGGCCTCTCCCTGATGTGGTCCCAATCGACGCCACGGAAGAAAGGTGCCAGCTTGAGCTCCTCGATGCCCCTCTGAGCGCCTAACATTATACGCGAATGGTTATTTATGTTGATTCACGGCGATTGCACAGGGTCTTAATATAGATACCGCTTCAAACGCGTAAATTCTTGATTTTTAGAAACGCCGATATACGTGCGAATATTTGCGTCCATTTTGTACGTAAAATTAAACAAAATAAAAATCAAGAATTTACGCATTACTGCCGGTAGACTTGTGAAAATAATTAAAATATTAACCTAATCTTCTGTCAGCTTCGCAACAGAATCTAATTATAGTGTCTTTAGCTTCCTCGCTAATGGGAACTTCTGGTGGAAACACGAGAGTCTCTCTCCAATTCATAACTTTTCTATACGTCTCCTGCGGATTTTCGCTGCAGAATGGAGGATACCCTGAAACAGACAAAGACGCGATTATCGTTACAAATTCTCCAGCGTTCCACGAAGGAAAGAAGAAAAGGAGGAAACAAGATACAGTACCTATAAGCATTTCGTACATGATGACGCCCAAGGACCAACAGTCGCAGGCAGGTCCGTAGCCAGTCTGTAAAAATACTTCTGGAGCTATGTAATCGGGCGTTCCTACTGTGCTGTAAGCCAGCGCTCTCCTGTTCCTCTTCCAGCTCTCGGCTCTTCTTTTGCTGTCCATCGCTCCGCCGCTTCCGCTACCGCAGGACGTCACTGGGCAGTCAAGTATCGTTTTGAAATCGGAGCAACGAAAAACAAAGATAAAACGTTCGTTCGATCAAGAAAAATGGCTAAGCGCTTACTGAAATCCGAAGGTTTCGCCTGACTGAGATCTCTATAGAAATCGGTTCTATGAGACTTCTTCAGGCCCGTGCATAGCCCAAAATCGGAGAGCTTTATGTGACCTCGTGCATCCAGCAACAGGTTGTCCGGCTTGATGTCTCTGTAAACGAGTTATTCAAAATATATACATGGTAACGCCATTTTTATTCGTATATTTTAAGGGGTAACGTCTCTTGTACCAGAAACGTTATCATTCATTATTATTTATTGATTTTGTTTTCGTTGAAGTGGGTTCGAAGGAAAAGGGATATGATTACACCGCGGATTACTTTGTAATTATTATAATGTAAACTTTATTTTAAATATTTCTTGTAATATTAATGTATGCTGCATCCATTTTGTAGTTTCTTGCAAATTAAGATGCGTAAAAATCCGCAGTGTAGATGTAATAGATAGATATAATTTTTAGAGAAGTGATTGGCATTCGTAGCATCGTCCATGCTACAGTTGAAATCAGGTAAGAGTATTAAATTCTCGGTATAATTATCCAAATTGCTATTCGAATTAGAGAAAAACAGTACACGAACTGTTTCGCGAGGAGATTTCTTATCGATTTATCGGAGTTAGCTGTAAACGTCTCGTATGTGATGGCAATCGTAGTTGGAATAGTTTTGCTTGGCCAAGCGTGTTCGAACAGACAGCAAATGAGAGAAAGCCAAGCGATCGTTAAGTTAATTACCGTTCATTCATTTCAATTTATATCTTATCTCACGATCAGAGGGGAGCCACTTAGGAAACGTCGAGTGGAAAGTACACGTTTTCGGAATACAGAGATTTACGACGTGGTCCAGATGACTGTTATGTAGAAAAATAACGGTATCGTCAATGAACATAATATAATTGTAATAGAAATTTAGAGAATATTCTAATTTTTGACGAACAACTCGGTATAAAAGAGGAATCAAAAGATAGTAACAGCTACGAAGACGTGTAGAAATACGGGGAAGGGGGAATAGGCAGGGCTAATTAGACACGGAGATTAATATGTTTGAAATGACGAAATTGATAAGATATAAGATGTTGGTATATCGTATGGAGGATAGATGTATCTGTTAATTAGTACGAGATTCATTACAGTGAATTTTGATAACATTTCACTTATCTATTCTTCTTTGTACCAAGGAAATTGAATTCTCGCGCTTACCTATGAATGAAGCCTAGCTTATGAATGGAGTCGATCGCCAACGCCGTCTCGGAAATATAAAATTGCGTGCACTCCTCGGAAAGCGTATCTTTCTTCATCAGCAACGTCATCATATCGCCTGCAATTAAAGAAGAATTACCAGTTTATCTTTCTGAAATGATGTAACGTAATTGAGATCTAAGTAATCCGGAATCGAGAGGAAAAAGTGTCGTTACGTAACTAATCGCGACGGCTTTTATCGATTGCACGAGTAACAAGAGTAACATTTTCCGAATTTTTGCAAAACTAAACGGTGATTACACTTTTTTTTTTAAAGTATGTATCCATTGAAAAATAATTTTGTTCCTCTTTGAAAAAAAGTTGGATCGAAAGGGGTTCAAGTATGAAACTAATGAAAGTAATCAAGAAAGGAAAGCTCACCTCCTGGTAGAAACTCCATTATTAAATACAGGTTTATTGGATCCTGAAAGCTGTAGTACATTTTCACGACCCATTGGTGATCAGCTTCCACCAGAACGTCTCTTTCGGCCCTGACGTGCGCGACTTGCTCCTTCTCCAGCATGTCAGCTTTTCTCAGAATTTTCATCGCGTACACATGGCCGGTGTCCTTCTTCTGCACGAGTCTTACCTGTATGTTACAACATAATTGGCCCTGAATAACGTTCGTAAAAACATTTTATCGAGAGATTCGTTTCCTCGTAAGATGTTTAACTCTTACAATTTAAATGAAACGTTGCGTAGAGCATTTTTTAATCGCTTACCATTGTAAATTTAACAATCACCGTTTTGGTAAAAATAACAGAAAGGGACAGTTGACTATGAAGTTCGAAAAATTAAGCAAACTTTAGATACTTTTCTCGGAGTCCAAGTCTCCTTAAGGGTATTTTCGTACAACAAAGTTGGAGAAGTTTTCAGAACGTGATCAAGACGCCGAATTGCCCGAACTTTAGAATTCCAGTCGATCGTAAATCGAGACGGTGAATTAGTAAATCGCGACGGTTCGCACGACGAATATTTTTCGGGTTCCGTGTTAAGAATTTACCTCTCCGAAAGCGCCCCTGCCAATTACTTTGAGGGGCTCGAAGTCTTCGACGCCGAGTCGAGAGCGCTTCAGCCGAAGGAATTCGGTCTCTTTCTGAGCATGCTGCAACCGTTTCTCTTGCTTCTGTTGCTCCGAGAGCCCTTCGTCTTTCAACGATTCCTCTAATTTCGCGAGCCTCTGCTTCCGCTCGATATGCTGAGCTATTAGATTGCTGTAGTAGTTCTCCAACGTTACCTGCCCACGAAAAAAGTTCGAAAACGTCACAATCTCCCGAAATATTGCTTGGATAAAATCCAACAGCGCACTTTGGTAGGAAAGAAAGTTTTTGGAGAATAATCCTTTAATCTGTGGGCAACGATTCTGAAATTCATTAGCATTTAACAAACACTTTTGACTCTACTTATTTCTATTTGAGTTCTACTCACTTTTCATCCAGAAATTAATTACGTTAAATTGAGCTTGGCTATAAATTAAGGAAGGAAGAAATTTTTAGAAAATAATTCTCTAATTTTTGAGCAACTAACATCTTTTAGTTCTACTCTACTCTGTTTGCATTCTATTCATTTAACACAATCAATCCTGAAAAACACTTAATATTTGTCTCCTTCGTGTGGTTTTAATCAATCTTCTTCCCTCCTTAACACGAGAAAGATTAGTTTGCATCGAATGGAAACATGTGCAGAGAGGGCAAGGACGCGAAGAGATTGTGGGTGGAAGGATAGGGAAGAAAACTATGAATAAAAAGAGAGGGAATAAAGATGCGGTAAGCTCGGCTCACCTTGGCCTTTGTAGCCTTGTCCAACGTATGGCCGCTGAATCGGATCGTGCTCTCTGTGGCCGCCATCTCCAGCACCCCTGTAACACACGCAAAAGGAGGTCACCGAGTGTCGCACACCAGTCTCCAGAACCGAGGTCTCGCGCCATGACACTGACACAGATCCTTCCGCGTTGGAATCCTTCTCCCGATCTAATTAAACGCGAACGTCCACCGAACGCGGACGAATCTGATCTTTACGACGGAAGTATTTATTCTTCGCGATTAACCCTTCCCATTCCCAGAATTCTGCTCGTTACGAGCAACTAGCAACTTCGAGACGATTCTCAAGGGCGTTTCTGAGACACTACTACGTTCGGAGTTCGAGAATAATTTCACAAACTGTAAAGATAAGCAACTATAAACATGAATTCTCTTCGTAGCGTTTCGCGACATACTTTCGAGACCGCAAGTGTTTCCCTTCCCGCAAAGTGCGACGTGGTTTTGTCGCTGCTTCCGGGAGCAGTTTGCCGTGTACTTGGACGAGAGGTGTTACAAGGTGCTTCCGGTTTCAACCCTTATCCGGATTATCATGGCCGTTACGGTGCCTGGCAACTTCGAACTACTAATTTTTAAACGTACGCGAACGTAACTGTTCGAGAGCTCGCACGGTCCTCTATTACCTCGTCAGGTTAGAAAAAGAAAGTACCGATCGAGACGAAAGTAACGCGAAGTTTACAAGGTGGACGCACGAGTAGCCGCGATCGAGTGGAAAAAAAATAACCACAGGCTTGACGAGATGACGCGCGACTAACTCTTCGCTGTCAAAGTTGTAGGATCGTCGCGAGGTCATCGCGTGCCATCATCCGATGAATCATCATTACGCGATCGTTGCTCGAGATAGACGACGAAGTAAAGTAATCGGGACAATCGGGTTCCCGACACGTTTTCGAGAATCTCCGCAACGTTTTCCCTTTCCTTTCCCTCGCCATCTTCGCCGCAACGAGAAATCCATTAAGTTGATGCATAATTAGATTTTTTGCATTTATGACATAAACTATGACGTTTACGACAAATTGCGCACAGTCCTCTTTCGAAAATTCAATTTCTACATAGTTCGAGCGAACGTCGCGAATTTGTTGGTCGCATTTCTAACTCTCTAGTCGCATTCGTTATCTATCAGAAAATATTGCTCATCTCTGATTCCAGCTAAGGCGACGCGCACTCGTGAAGCGCGTACAAATAAAATACACAATGATTAACCACATTTCGCTAACACGAATGTTTCTGCTTCACGGCGACGTGAAAGAAGATGGCTAGCCGAGCACGAGCCGCGTGACGTGACGTACGAAAGCTAAACAAATAGATCCATTCGTTGTCGCCACTTAACGAAGCCAGTTGACGATTCGAAAAAATATTCAGAGTAACGATAGCGTAAAAGTTTCATATTTATGGATGAAAGTGTTCGACAAACATTTTTCTTACAGACTTCTTGCTTCTACGCTCCCTTAATTGGACCGCGGGATCTAGAAATGCCGCGTACCTTTGAAGTTTGATTGAAAACAACATTTCACGAGCGCCAACCTAATATTTCAAGTGTTCCACGAGTTTCGGGAGACAATGGACCGTTGTTTCGCGACCCAGATAATTACATCCAGCAATTTACATCGAAGCACGGAACACTGGTACTATTGCCTGTAAATGTCCTTCAACAATTCTCATTCTACAATATCAATTCGATTAATCTTCTATACATTACAAGCGTCACAAATCTCGTACTCAACCTTTCCGTACTCAAACATCTAAATGGCGCAATGGTTGTCCTAAAAATTTCTTTCGTTTTATCATTTAATTACTGTGGTATTCTAGAGGATCACTTTGGTCCAAACTTGTCTAGATCTCTACGGAGTGGAAAGGATGAAGAGAGAATGATCGAAAATCGATGGAGAACCCCAGAAAGTACCGCAGGAATCGAAGGTGAGTCGAAGACAGGACAATTTCGTTCGATAATCAGTCATATCTCGTCTCGAAAATGACTTGGACATTCTCTCTCCGCGTTCCGGAGCAAAGGTTAGCTAGCCTTGGAGCTTATTAAATAATGGCCGCGGTGAATGGTCGTGCCGAGCTTATCAGTGACAGTTTTCCCGCGCAAGACACGGTGGATCGAGTTTCTCTCGGATTTGTCGAAACCAAGTACATTATTGACGTTCTGATTCCACCAAGGAACCTTCTACTTTATCTACGACGACCTAAATAATACCTAAAACTACTTACTGCTACCAATCGTCAGCGTTTAAACCTTCCGTTCCTCTTGCTTCCAATCTGTTGATTCACGGTTGAAAATAAGGACCGACCACGGTTATTACACGTAAACAATCACAAAAGCGTATGCGTAAGCACCCTCGAGTGAATCATCGAACAGCCATCGATCACGTTATTGCCATTCTTATTCGATTCGCGACGACTGCGAATGATTTAGAACGGTAGTTGTCGATTCTGTCGTTCGATTCACTCGCGCGAAAGGTTTCGATGCTTGTTGGATTTATCGCTAACCGTGTGAAGTTTATGGTCCATTAATTACGAACCGAGTCAAGGTTTGGGAATGATATAAGGTATTTAAAAAATGATCGGAACTTGCATTACGAAAGACGCAGTCAAACTGACAAAGAAGCCAACGTTATTATCGTAAGCGACGTGATTGAAGGAATTACAAGAGGATGAGTCTATTTATCGGGTTCTCAGTAGTATAGATCTATGGTAGCGTATATATGAACCGTTTTGCACAAAAAATTGCATAATCGATCAACTCCATAAAACAAAACGTTGAGAAATGCGATCAAAGTGGTCTCTGAAATCAATTATTTATTATTCAATGAGCAAACAAATTTATTGCGACTATACCAAGTGCTTTGACACTTGAATTTAAAATTTTTCAAAAATTGGCGTTAATCGATTTGCGCGGTGAGCGGCTGATGTATTCTTCGTACAATTACAGGAAGAAAGAAAGAACAGTCTCGGATCAAGGGAATGCGGTGCTACGAGTAAAGAATGCGGACAGCGTCCAGTAATTTCGCCTTACGACTCCAGGCTCTAATGTCTGACCTAATACGATTCGCACGGAAGGGTTTTTCGCGTGGATCGAGTCTAATAAGACGCGTAACGTAGCCAAGAATAATTTCAAGCAAGAAACGTAAGACCTGCCATGATTCCATGATGTTGCAACGCAGTTGAGTTAAGCGTTTCAGCAATGGTTCGTAATTGTGGTCAAGGATAGACGTAACTTGACCTGTCCTGCGAATCGCCGTCCTTGGAAAAGGTTCTTCTGTTTTGTATTTATATTTCCGAGGTTAGTCGAACGAAGTATTACATATTAATTATATGCGTAACTCGTTTTGGAAGAGATTGCGATGTATATTTCGCGATTTGATCCTCGTTGGACTTAGGGACTAGGTACAATGACGTCACGCGCTGATTACATTACGGATTACAAGGCCGCATTAAACTATTCTAGAAGCCGTACTTCGCGAGCCTCTCTTGCGTTCAGTCTGCAAATAAAGGGTAACATAAGACACGAAGAATGTACAAGGAGTAAAGAACGTATGTATTCCTTTTGTTGAGACACGTTTGGATTAAGTACTTACGCGGCAAACAACTTTCTGCAGTTTTCTGCAAATTTTGTTTTGAGACCAGTGAAATCTACATAATCTAACGTTCGTTATAAGTACTTGTTGTTATAACGATGTCAAAATTCATGAATCCAGAATCATTGTCGTTAAAATCTTACATTCAAAATTATGTTATTTAGTTGTATATTAAATAGTTCTGTGCTCTATATACGGGTGACATGACGATGTCAAGGTTCAAAGTATGAATTCTTCATTTGGAAAGTGGAAGAAGAATCATGGCGCTTTGAAAAATTTGCAAGATCGCGAGACATAGGATCATCGAAGCCACTAGGATCGAAGATGAGGTAACCGAAATACCGATAAACATCCCGACGTTGGTCGTACGGCTTCCCTCCGACACAGATTACGTAAAGGGAATGGAATCGCAGACGTTTCCGCGAGTAAAGCAACGTTTCTTTCCATCAACCCTTTGAAAGCTGAGTAATAGCTCCTGCATCGCTACTTGAAACTTTACTAATTCTAAACAAAAATTAATTCTTTATTATTTAATATACGTACGATAAACCTCGCCGAACAGATGTTACATTAAATCAAATGTACTCGCAAAAAAAAAAAAAAAATTGTTGAACGTAGCTATGAACACAGCGACGATCTTCACGCGCATTTTCCCCCTTAATGGCACGTCATCGTCTTTGGTTTCGCTTTTGCGTTGCATCCGAGAGTTGCATTCGAGATTTGGCTCGAGGTACGCAATATCATTTCCTTAAAACACAAGCGTCGATGCTATATGCGTCACGGGTACGAGCTGCGGTCTTTATCGCATAGAATTGGCGGTATCGTCGCGGTTAAATAGAGCTGCGAGATTAAAAGCGACGACGGCGTGGCGATAAACGATGCGAGCCACCGAATTATGCAACGTCTTTGCCTGACGTGGTTGCACCCGACGCGCGCAAACCTTTTGAAAAGGTTCGCGTTATCGCCGTCGCAAGCTTCGAGTACGCGATCGATCGCGAAACGAACTACCCCGTAAAACCAGTCGTCGACGGTGTTTCGATATCGCGAACGAGCTTTTTTCCCCGATTGCGAATATTCCGCAACGCCAGATGCGCAAAGTGACACGTTTCGCGCTTGTAAACCCTTGCTTTTGAACTCTCGGGTCTTTGATACGTTATTTTTAACGCAGAACGATAACATTGTTTCTAAGTTTAAAATATCTAAGTATAAAATACAGGTAGTGCAACCACTGACCCCCTTAGTTCAGGTATCTCTAGGTTTCCTTCGAAACCGTGAACCAACTATCCGCTTCTTTCAATTTACTTCACTTTTCTTCGATTCTGTGCGATTCATTCTAGGTATCTACTGATAATTCCATTAAACTATTCGAAGAAATAAATTTCTGTTGATTCCATTTGCAGACGTCGAATTCCATCGAGTATCCAAACAGGAACGGAAGCGGAAAGGACGACATCAAGAGG